GTGAATTCCTTTGTCCTCACATCCATCACAATGATTATTCAATACATTTGATATCATCATTGACATAACAAACAATTGCATCACCCAGGTAATAAATAATACCAAGACCATGCAGAAATGATTTTTTTAAGGAACTTGATTTCAAAACAATAATGTGTCTATCTATCCAGATCTTTGAGATTCACAGACAAATAAATCTATTCCTCCCTTGATCCATAGGTTGACTGGATGATTATTTTTCTTATGAATAGAATAATAAATCTGATGTTTGTTACAGGTGTCAGATTTAATAAAATTTCCTTTCACAAACATGCAGCTAGGTGGTTTTACACGCCCTCATGTCTGTGGAATTATTTCCATAGGTGAAGGTCATCACATGTTGGAAGGCTTTGGACAAATGTGATTCAAGCAAAAACTTCTCTCAGACCAAGGTTGGCTGTTATCATACAAGAAATAGGCATCGATCATTTATAAGATAAAGTTGGCATCTGCAACATGAGAAGTTGCAATTTGGATTTCTGCTTATTCATGGTATGCCTTACTTACAAACAAAGGCATGGACCTAGGGTAGGGGAAAAAGCCCAGGTCCCCTCCCATTTAAAAAATAATTACAGTTAATCAAACAAATAAACAGATAATTTAGAAAAACAAATAATTTGAATGGAACCTACTAGACAAAATCTCATGATGTATTGTTGTTGGTGTGCTAACATGCTGGTTGCAATGCCATGTTTATTTCTGAGGAGATTATTGTTACAACTTTTCAGCCTTCCCTAGTCAGATTCTGTGAGAGAAGATCAGGATTTGCGCAAATGTCCTAGACAATGATGCAATCTTGATAAATTCCCAGGACAATGCTTTCCCCTCCCCAGGAATCCAATTACATCATTGTATCATCGGGGGATGCGAGTCAGATTAGCCTTATGTACACAAGGAAAAAGTGAGAAAATAACTGTAATGTTCTTAAGATGACGTGCTCCATCATTTGTAGCTTAAATGTTGCATATTGAATGGTTCTTCCACCAGATCTTTAACAGTCATGCCGTCTTTTTTGTTTATTAATATTTAACATTAACAATGATTACTAAAAGCAAACACATAATCGTTTATTTATTAACAATTAAAAATTCAAAACAATCAAATCATTTACTTGATGAATTAATAAATAAAAATAAAAATAATAAAAGTAGTTACATTGCAAAAATTTGATGTTGAATTTTCTAAAATAATAGGTATTGATGAAGGTACTGAAGAATTAATCTATTTTTATTATTATTATTATTTGTAAATGGTTGTTTAGATAATGGGGGAAAGGCAAAAAATGCTTATCAAATTAGTCACATGATTCTTATATAATAGATAAAAATTTTCCAAACCATACGCGGAACATTTTGAAATTATTAAATTTTTTTAAGGTTCGTGATGAAGAGGTAGTAAAGATTTGTATATATGTGTAATTACATTTAATTTGATTCAGATTTTATTTTAAAAATTATTTGTTATTTTATTTCAAATGATCAATACGATGAAACTACCTCAAGGTTGGTCTTGAATTAAGATACAGAAGTCAGTTTAACAAATTCTCATTTAAACTAAAAAAAGGCAACGAAACAGTTTGAGCACCTGGATGAGTGTGCATTCCTGCCAAACGATATCTCTCGATTCTTCTTAGCTCCTCAGTTCTTACATCCCATATTCTGTACTAGTTGGGTCCTTTTTAGTCACATCCCAACGAGTTGGTTTCTTTTTAGGATCAATGCTAACAATACATCCACATCCAATATGCCATGGTTGCTAGTTGACAGCCCCATCGACCAGTCCATTAGATCATTTGGCATATCATATTAACCATATTTAGTATTTTATTAATGCCAATAGACCAGAACAAAATACATCAGTTTCAATGGACTCGATCCGTTGCCAACACTGCAATATACCGTGAGTTCTTCACTGAACCTGGCCTGCAAACATTTTTGCAAAAAAATTAAAATGTTCCAATAATTTCATTTATTTTTAAGGAATTAATTGGCTATCAAGTTAGATATTTTTTAAAAAAATATAAACTTTTAGTCATTGTGTCAGCCATTGAAGCTAACAACGAGTGATATTTTTTTGATAGCTCTACTAAATACTATTATTTAAGGTGTAAGACACCTTTGATGCAAGCTTCATCCAATGTCAGATCATTCTAATTACTCATCATGAATATTCTATGTGCTTAATACACACACATAAAGATTCTCCATGACCATTAAAAAAGATACCTTATAAGTAGTTTTAGTAATTTTTTTTCAATTTAATCCAACATCTTATATTATTTGATGATATTAACAATTGTTCTTGGATTACAATTTTACCTTTTGCGCTTCAGTTGTGTGATGATTTGCACCAGTTGATGATTCTCCCCCCTCGTCTTCTGGAAGCTCGAAACTTATTTTTACTTAATTGGTTTATTTTAAAGCATTTTTTTAACGTAATTTTTATAGTAAAACGTTTTAGGAATCAAGAAAATCGTCTCGTAGTTTTAAGGTATAGGTTATAAACTACTCTCGTGCCAATTTTCAATGAATGCTAATTTGGTAATTATGGAGGAGATAGAATTTGCGTAAAAATTTGTAGATATAATTTTTATGAGACTGTATTATAATTTTGATCTATATAGTTGGCCGAACATTTTAATGCAGCAACATTACAACCATCAATCTAATGATCAATTGATAAATTTTAAATAAGTATAGATTCAAAAATAATCAATCTTTTTCATTTGAATGGTGTGTAATTACTTACATTTGCTTCACTTTTAAGTCTAGAAAGTAAATACAACGACAATGTTTAATTTCCAAAGATATATGCTAAGCAAGCCTACTTAATAATATGATCTTCGCTTCTTTGTCTTCTAATAACTTTTCACCTCCTTTTTTGTATTTTTATGGTCTATTTTTGTTGTCAATTAGGTATTTTTTGAATAAAATAAATAATAATATAATGATTATTTTCAATTGTCAATTGGTATTAGTAAATAAAAAAGGCGTGTTGATAGAAGAAGGTGATTAATTAATTAATTCCAGTGTGACTTGGTGCAAATATCAAATGAACGTTTACATCAACGTTTGCATCAACGTTTACATCAGTATTTACATAATTGTTTTTCAATAATGAATTAGGTGTTGTATCTGAAGACAATAATCATCACCATTGTTACCCTCAACTTCCTTTTCTTTTTTTTTTGTTTTTAACAAGTTACGAAACAGTTCTCATTGGTTCAGCAAATCCAATATCCAGCATCTCATCAGCACCATCAAGACAACTAATTTCAATTCAAAATTATACAATGTAAAAGCTTTGTATCGTCATGAATACATCGAGTTTTTAAGTCAAAGTTGCTTGTCATTGAATTCAAACTTGATTGAAATTTGTTTTTCCTAGATCTTCTTGCCGGTGTCATTATCATTGCTTTTGAGTTAAAATTTTTAATTTTTTTTTTTTGGAAAAGACATGGAAGAAGGTGTGGAAGGCAATATGATTTCAGTTATTGGTAATGACTGAAACGCCAATTATAAATTTGTTAGAAACCAAAACAGCTCTTAACAATTCCATAAAAACAATAATTAATTCCTTAATCAGTGGAACAGTTGGTTATTTAGCCAGTAAATTTAAACAAGGTCAAACCATTTCCGAAGCAGAAATTAAAGAAATTGATACGATAATAAATAAACTAGTAAACCAAACTCAGCAAGCCAAACAAGAAAAAGATTATTGAAAAGCCCAAGCCACTCAAAACCAAAATCATTTTCGCCAAGACCCAACCAACTCTCCTTGTTTTCGTGGTGAAAAATGCCAATGTTTTTATCAGTCCCAGTCTAAAACAAAAAATATAAATATAAACAAATAAAAATCTAAACTATTAAATCATAAATGAAGAAATAAATAAATTTGAGAACCTTTGCTCTGACTAAAACATCATATCCATTTTAAAAATTGCAGCTTGAATAGGAGATAAAGATTAATTCCACGTTTGTTCAATGAATTGATGGATTTTTCTGAAATATCATATCATATGGATTAATGATGCCATTATTACCATTGTATTTTGGTTCGATAATGTGGATTGGGAGGTTCAGGTACTTGGCCCTCAGAATGTTGAGTGGTTTCCTTAAAAAATACCTAGAATGTCTTGTTGAGAGAATTGCTAGACGTTTTGTTGAGAGGTTTGATGAATAGAAGCAGAAGCAGATATAAAATTGTTGAAACAAGGGTCATCTCAGGATCAGTTACGCCTTTGAACTGTAATGTTTTGAGATTTAGTTGACTTCTTTGGAGCTGAAACTTTCTTTACTCATCATCCTATTTGTTATATGTTGTAATTATTACTTCACTGAATTTATTAATTTTGCTTTGTTTAGTTGTTTAATTGACTTTATATGCTTGCTATATTTAAAAATATGGTTATGCTAAATTCTTTAATATTAAATTGTTTAAAATTAACTTACTTCTCGCAAATAGCTTTAGCTTGAAGAAAAAGTAGAGGAATTGAAAAAATTGGTATATTTACAACGTGTTTTAGATTAACACTAATACCAAGAAATATTAGTGTGGGAAAATTGATCCGCGTTGCATTTAATTATGGCGATTATGTATATATATAACATGATTTTTGTTTTTTTTTACAAGAGTTTTTTTTTTTAAATTTTTAATAATAATTAATAACATAACAAATGGATTCAACAATATTAGAAAAATACTTTAATGAAAATGAAAGATTTTTAAATTCAGAAGAGAATAGCGATGTAAAGATCAATGTTGGTGTAAAACCAAATGTTAAAGAAATTCATGCACATTCATTCATTCTACAAGTTCATTGTCCATTTTTTAGAAATGCTTTAACCAATGCAACAAAAACAAATGGTTATTATGTTATTGGAAAACCAAATATTAGTGAATTAATTTTTAGACCTATTCTAAAGTAAGTTTACTAAATTAATATTATATTGTATTTGTTTTTTAATCGAATATATGGAGCTTTTCAATAGAAACAAGGACAATGTTGAAAATGATGTTTTGAAAGAATGTTCTGCATTTTAAGGGATTTGCCATTATTGGGAAAATTTACTATGCAAAAATGGGTATGGTTTCTAAGCCAAAACCATTCCGCCTAAAGAGTTGCATATAAGGGGTGACCTTAACTCAAAATCATTATTGATGTTGTCCTTGTTTCTATATATATAAAACAATGGCAATAATGATAATTAACAATATTTTTATTTTATTTTAAAAGATTTTTATATACTTGTAAAATTGAATTAGACAATTTTACTGGAGTTGAAATTGTGGAAATATTAGTTGCAGCTCATGAACTTGGTCTTGAGTCACTCTTTGAACACACAATGAAACATTTTATCAAGAAACATGGGGATTATATAGAAAAATTATTTCAGTCAAGTAAATTTGAATCATTGGAAAAACCAATTATATTGGAAATTCTCAAAACAGATGATTTTGTTGTTGAGGATGAAACAATTGTATGGCAACATATTCTTAAATGGGGATTGAAAAGACATCCAGAAATCAGTAATAATAATGTTGAAGACTGGTCATTGCAAAACTTTGCAGATTTTGAAAAGACAATAAAAGAGTTTATTCCTTTGATTCGGTTTCAGGATATCTCTAATGAAGATTTTAATGATAAAATTGTGCCATATCTAATGCTTTTTCCTAGAGCTTTATGGAAAAATCTTTTACAATATTATTTAGTCCCTGGTAGGCAGAAAACTTTAAATTTATTACCATCAAGAATTCCTCCAAAAATTAACTCAACAATAATTATCAAAAAAAAGGTTATTTTGCTTTTTGCAAGTTGGATTGATAGGAAGAATCCACCATATACTTTATTTGGAGAAGTTAAAGTTAAATATGAATTTAAACTTTTATATTGTAGTAGTAGAGATGGTTTAAGTGCAGCTATTTTTCATCAAAAATGTGATAATGTTAACAAAACTCTTGTGGTTGCCAAAGTACAAAACACTGAGCAAATTGTTGGTGGATATAATCCACTTAATTGGAATGGAAGTCAATTTAAAAATACAAATGATAGTTTTATATTTAATATAAGTAATAGAAATGATATCAAAAGTACTGTGCAGTTTAGTTATCCTATTAAGAATCAAAAGGCAATATATTGTTATCCAAGTTACCTTCCTACTTTTGGTGGTGGTCATGATTTGTATTTTTATACAAGCAAGATGATTTACAGTACACTAGATAATAATAGTAACATAAATCTAGTAAATAGTGCATTTGATGAATTGGAAGTTTTTCAAATAATTAGTAGAAATTAAAATGATCAAAAATACAATCACAAATCAAAATTTTTAACCGGAATTAGGGGAGAATTCTTATTATTTATTATTTCTTCATTTTCTTATTATCATCATTATTTTTTCTTTTGTCTTTTTTTTTAAATTTATAAAATTCGCGTCTAATAATAAAAAAAAAATATAACCATAAATACAAATCAATTAAACAAATTTCATACTTTTTATAATCTTTAAAAAAATATAATAAATAATAACATAATTTTTATCAAATGGGTCAACAACATTCCTCAGGGAAATCACTTTTAACAATTACTCCTTACGCACACTCTCATAATCATCCTTTTCATTATAATAATAACCAAAATCAATATCTTAATAATAACAACAATGAAGAAGATATCACATCCAAATTTCATGAAGTTGTCCCTGACACTTATGAGAAAATAAAAAGATCATCTAAATATAAATTACCTTCAGACGATGAAATAATGGGCAGGATACAATTAAGACATTTGCTGTTTAGATATGTTTGGCAAAGTAATTTTTCCTCGCCAATTGATGAAAAATTAAGGAATGGTGCCAAAGTACTTGATATTGGGTAAATATAATAGCACATGAGAATGTATAATTATACGTATATATATATATATATATCACGTATATTAATTGAAATGTATTATTATTATTATATTAGTTGTGGTAGTGGATCTTGGGTGTTAGACATGGCATCAAATTATCCAAATAGCGAATTCATTGGCATCGATATGGCTCCAATGTTTCCAAATAGTTCTCCATCAAACGTGGAATTTTCAGTGATAGACATTAATAAAGGATTGCCATATGAAGACAGCACTTTTGATTTTGTACATTTAAGATTTCTAGTACAATATTTAACTGAAAACGAATGGCAAGATAAAGTAATCAAAGAATTATTAAGGGTCACAAAAAAAGATTGTTGGATTGAAATCATGGTAAATTATCTTCATTTTTATAATTTGATAATTTTTGATTATTCTATTACTTTTTTTCTAATTCAATTCAAATTTATTCATTTGTAGGAATTGGATTTAATATTTAATAATGCTGGTATTCAAACTAACAAATTACAAGATGCAAGTAAGTACTAAAAAATTTTGCAATAATAATAATAAAACATAAAGCGAATTTAAAATTAACTTATTTTTATTTACTTTCTTTCAAAAAATTTAGCAATTTCATATTTTAATTCTCAAAATATCAATTCAGTAATTTCACATCAATTATCAACTTTCTTAAATTCAACTTCTGCATTCAATGTAATCAACTATGAAGAACGTTATACTCCTTTAGGCAAATGGGGTGGTAGATTAGGTAGCTTTTCATTGGTATATTTCTATCTTGCCTATCAAAATATGAAAAAGGTTTTACCACAACATATGAAAATATCAGATATTGAATATGATCATTTAGTTGAAGGGTTCCATAGTGAATGCGAACAAAACAAAATTCATATTAAAACCTTTAGATATTGGGGGCAAAAAAAATAGAATAAATATTTATTACTATTATTATTATTATAAAATAGATAGACTTTTAATATTAATATTATTTATATTAGGTGTATATATAATTAATAATTTACATAAACAACATAATAAATAAATAAATTTTCCATTCTTTTCTTTCATCAATAAACATCTTTGAAATCACCCATTTTGAAATCCTTTTTCTTTCTTTCTGATTTAGGCCATCGAAACAAAGAAGAATTTTTTTTACAAGCTTCCCATGATTCTTTGAATTTACCATCAAATACTCTTTTATTATTTTCAAGCAGATTCTTCTTATCGTTTCTGATAGTTAAACTTTTTAAACCGTGATGATCTCTCTCTAGAATCTCGAAAAATTCTGGTCCAATCTCCCTACTATCATATATCAACAACTCCTTCCAACTACAAACTCCTGGTGGCCTAACAACCAAATTTATCCATCCTTGTTTGCTCACCTCGTTCAATCGATTCTCAATTGAAAATTTTTCTAGCTGACTCATTGACGCAATTAACAATAAACATTTGTCTGTTATTTTCGGCGTTTTGAATAATTTTAACTTTATCACTTTTTTTGATTTTACAATATTTTTCAAAACCAATTCATCCAACTCATCAAATGTTCCTATCTCCAAGGATTCTAAGTTTGGAAATAACTTCAAAAATTCAAAATTGCTCCGACTTTTGATACACTCAATCGATAAATCTTTCAAGCTTATCATTTCATTATCATTTTCTTCATCGTTCCTACTTAAGAAATCAAGATCTTCTCCTTTCAACTCGTACGATAAATGAACAGATGTTAAAGACTTAAATCGAGGTAAAATCAATATCGATCTACCATGTGCTGGTATATCAAGCGCATTCAATTTTGGACATCCCGTTGATAACGTATTAACTGCCGATTCATTAATCGGTAAGCGTTCCGTGGCAAAATCAAAATTTCTAAGATTTTTACAATACTTTCCAAAATATTCTACTATTATTGATGGATCTTTGATATTGGATTCTAATAACAATTGATCAGTGCTTATTATTCTGACCGAAAGTAATGATTCTTTGGAGTTATATGCAACTCTATTTGATAATTTTAAAAATTTTTTTTTGTTAAATTAATTTTAATTTGCTTTAATGTATCCAATCAAATATCAATCATCAAAATATCAATAACAATTTTAATATTAATTACCTTTTCCAAACATTTCGGGCCAATTTTGGATTATACAATCTAATACTATTGATTTTTCCACATTTCATTGCTCCACATAATCCATCATCATCATCTTGCATTTTGTCATCATCATCATCATCATCATCATCATCCCCTTCTTCTAGATCATCAGCATCTTTATCTTCCATATCAAGATGATCGTTCACATGCTTATAACAATTAAGGTTCAAACGAATCAATCTATCACCAAGTAAATGTAGTGGCAATTCATATTTTTTTCTTTGTTTATTAGACAATCCCAAAGAAACTTCTTTTAAATTTACACATTTTTCTGCTATAAATTCAATCAACCCTATATCAATGCATATTCTTGATTCAAACTCCAATTCTTCAATTACCAATTTATCTATAAAACTAGAATATGGAAATAATGACTTTTTATTACTACTTCCACCGTCACTACTATTATTATTATATGAAATATTTCCCTGTTGTTGTTGTTCTTGTGATTGATTTTGAAGTATACTAATAAATTTGGATAATGAATTTTTTTCTGTAAATTTACGTTCTTTCCACAATAATGGGACTGTTAATGATGCTAAATTATGGCATGTCATTAATAGATTCATAATATCAGATATATTCAATCCATATTTTGTAATAATTTCTATACAAATTTCTCGTGGAAGTTCAATGAGATTCATTTTTTTTTTAGTCAACTAAGAAAGTTTGAAATTTTATTTATATTTTAGTAACACACTTGAAGTCATTCCCAATTTTAAATATTGCCATTTTGGGTATTTGTTTTATATATTCTAGGCTTTTAGTTCCTGAACCTTTATTATTCATGAATTCCAGGAGTCTGATGATTCCTAGGTTGCCTCAGGTTATATTTGTTTCTACACACAACCACTCGAGGTATCAATTGCAAGCTTCAGATTATTCGTGGGATATTTATGAACTGTAAACATAACCTCTGTTATTTTATTTGTATATATATAATATTTATTAACTTATAAAGTACAAGTTTTACAAAAATTTTGTCACCGTGATACAAAAAATTTTAAACACTAATACTAATAAATAAATATGGACACAACGTTAACAATAGATCATTTTAATAATAATAAAAGACTATTAGAGGAGGAAGAGAATTACGATGTAAAGATTCAAATTGGCGCAGAACCAAATATTAAAGAAGTGCATGCGCATTTATCAATCTTATGTGCTCAATGTCAGTTTTATTTGTGAGTTTATCAGTAACTTAAAAAAGTCCGTTTTTATTTGTCGACTTTATCGGCTACTTAATAATATTCCAGAACTTGACTTATTCTCATATTCCATTTTTATCCCACATTTACAAATGTCCCTATATTAATATAAATGGCATCATAGAAAAAATCCAGGTTGCTTGCTTTCTATTATTATGAAATAAACTGACATTTACGGAGTGATAATTGATAAACATAATCACGGAGATATAATGGAAATATTCTGGGGTATCATTTTACAGGGCAAAAATATGATAATATCAACAAAGCTATTGTAGTTGGCAAAAGAGCAATAGTTATGGCTTGACTGGGATGGGAATGGATATAAAGATATGAATATAGTTTCATATTTAATAAATCAGCACTGCGCAGCTTAGTTATGCTAATAATTAAAATTTAATATGTTGTCATTCAGCTAACCTTCCTAGATTTACACCTGATATTTATTTTTATAATAGTAATATAGATTTGATGAATTAATAAAAATTTTATTCACATTAGTATTAATAGATTGAATTGATTAAAATTTATTTTTTATGGCAATTATGTAACATTGGACTTTTTTGTTTACAAGATTTTTTTTTTAAATTTTTAAATAATAATAAATGGATTTAACAATATTAGAAAAATATTTTAATGAAAATGAAAGATTTTTAAATACAAAAAAGAATAGTGATGTAAAAATTAAAGTTGGTGCAAAACCAAATGTTAAAGAAATTCATGCCCATTCATTCATTTTACAAGTTCATTGCCCATTTTTCAGAAATGCTTTAACCAATGCAACAAAAACAAATGGTCATTATATTATTGAAAAATCAAATATTAGTGAATTAATTTTTAAACCTATTCTAAAGTAAGTTTACTGAGTTATATTGCATTTATTTTTTAATTGAATACAATATATATATATATAACAATAATAATTAATTATTTTATCTTATTTTAAAAGATTTTTATATACTTGTAAAATTGAATTAGACAATTTTACTGGAGTTGATATTTTGAAAATATTAATTGCAGCTGATGAACTTGGTCTTGGATCACTTTATGAATATATAATGAAATATTTTATTGAAAAACATGAGGATTATATAAAAGAAAATCCAGTTAAAATCCTCAAGTTAATTTATTCTTATTCTAATGAAGAATTTAAGGAATTGAAAAGTATAGTGCAAGACACCTAGTCCCACAATTTTTTATTGTCCTTGTAGATCCTTCTCTAACTCCAAAAATGGAAATGTAACACCAAAAAAATAAGCCGTAATTTTGAAGCTA